GCGGCGGCGGCGGCGGCGCAGGCAGCCGGGAGCGCGGCCGGCACCCCCCGCCCCACAGCGCGGCGGAGGGGGGCGAAGGCCCTTTGGCGTCTGTGGCAGGAGGGTAGGTGGAATGGCGGCAGCGGCCCCGCCGCGGGGCACTCTGGGAGCGGTAGTTCTCCATCGCCAAGCGGCGGGGGCCGCACCGCCTCCGCGAGGACTACAACTCCCGGCATGCAGAGCGGCGGCGCCCCTAGGAGGAGGGAGGGGGGAAGGCGAGAAGGGGGCCTGGGCCCGGGGCGCCGTTTTGGCGGGGCCGTGAGGGAGCTGTGGAGAGGGACCCCGGGGAGGAAGGTTCTCCTCAGCCCGGGTGGCAGGGATGGGCCCCCCGCGGGGTCGAGGGAGAGCGGAGGGTGCCCTGGGGTCCTTTTTTCCCCTCCCCGGGAGGGATGCGCACTGAAATCCTGTCATCGAGGAGCCGTGGCCTGTGCTCGCCCCTTGCCACATTTATTTTCGAAATAATATGCTTAAACTTGACATATTTTCGTGTCACAAGCCCCCCTGCTGTGACATCTTGGGCTTGACCTGAAGTACAAGGCTTGCCTTCACACAGCCCTGGCTAGCGCCAGGTTCAAGAGCCTCAAATAACACTAAAAATAAACTAGAGATGTCCCCAGCCCTCAAAATTTGAGTGCTTTAAACCTAGCAGTTGGTATCGTAAAGCCTGCACCTTAGATTTACTGCTAAATTACAGCTTTCTCCTCTTCCCCCACCAGCACCTCGCAGCCTGCAGTGAGATGCCCATAATGCAGCTCATCCAAAGAAGCCCTTGGGTCAGGCCTCATGGAAGTTTAGTTTAGCCCAAATCCCGTGAAATTTCCCTTAAATGTACTTTGGGTTCTTTCCAGCCTTTTTTTCCTCAGAAGTCAGATTTTTCTAGCCTAGGCTGTGGCATAGCATCCGCAGCTCCTCTCCTTTCTGCTGGGAAGGCCGGAGCTGGAATTCCAAACAGCAGAGGGGAACATTAAAATGGCCAAAATTGGCTTTCCCAGCTTGCGACAGAACCACGAGGAGCATGGTGCTGCCAGAGGAATGCCTCCATGACGGCTCCTTCCTCCCCTCTGGCTGGGGCAGGAGAGGAAACCAGAGCACCCTCGCATTTTCCCCGTGACTATTATTTCCTGTATTATGGTAATAACTACAGCCATCCGGCTGACAAGCTCCTGTCCTGAGCAGATAGGCTGGGCAGGCCCTGCTTACTGTGGGATGGCAAAAATATTTACCGCTTGCACAGCCCTTTCTCTTTTTCCTACATCACTACCTGGCCTGAAAACAGGCTGGCTTTTGGGCACGAGCTCCCAGCAATGCCAAGACTGGATCGGCACGTTGTAAACAAACCTAATTGTTATTTTCCCCCACAATGTTTGAAGACTTTTAAGATGCATACGTATCTCAGAGCAGGCAAGTAAAATTGCTGGTGATTGTATTTAGCATAATGTTGGACACACAGATCTAAAAGTGTGTCACGGTATAGTTGCTTTTCTGCTCAGCCACTGTGCCTCTTCATTACGGTTAATGCTATACCTCTTCCGTCATCCTTGTTCTCTGCAGCTCTTGAAAGTGAAGGTCTACAGGCTCACCCTGCAGACCTCAAAGTTCTCCTTGACCACCATCGTTCACCCATAGTTTGTGGGGTGCTGCAGAGTGGCTCCCGCCTGCACCTCATTTCCAAGTGTCACGTACAAGACATCCTAAGTCCACGCAGCTAGAACTGCCATCATTTCAGCTAGTCAGCTAAGACAGGTGTGAAAACAGTCCTATTTTTATTTAACAGGCTTTAATCTTCATTAAACCTTGCTCGGCTGTGGTTTGGCTCTATACGATGAGTTGCCCGTGATCAATACAGAAGGTTCACTTGCCCTTCAGACTAAATAAGAACTGGGTAAAGCCTCCGTTGCTTCTATCCCTGGGCATCTACTGAGACTGAGGTAAAACACCCAATGCAAAAAGAGAGTCTTATAATCAGTGATTTCTGGGGACTCTGCAGAACTGAACAATTTCCAAGGAAATTGGGCAACTCTGCACAGTACAGGGAAATGACTCATTTCCAACTAAAGAAGATAAAGCCCTACTGCCGTGCAGAGAGTATGCAGATGCACTGCTGAACATCCTAATGAGGCACTGAGAAGTACTTTTTAAAAATGTACCTGGGAGTGCTGAGGTATAATGCAGGTGAGAGTCAGACCCACATACAACTATGGGCCCTGATGTTCTGGGCACAGGCACACAAACTCTGCTGGTGACCATTTTGGGGAGCAAAAGCCCAGCAGAAGCCAATCCTCAGTTGCAGATGCTGGTGATATTCTTTATTCCAGAAGAAACAAGGCTTGGCTGCACTGCTGCAATCCCAGTGACCTTCATAGGGATCAGAGAGAACTGAGGCTGAAAGCTTTGAGTGAAAGAGCTAATGAATGACTGCCAGCAGACACATGGTCTAGGACTTCTCCTGTGTTAGCCTACAGCAACTCCAGAGTGCTCACAGATTTGTCCTTCTGCAGAGAGAAACCTCAGTCTGACGAATACTGTCAGTCCTAAGCACCAAATTCTAGTTGTTAAAATCCCATGACGCTGGTTTTAAAATAATGGAGTCCTGACGCTGTGGTCAGCTGAGCAGTTTGCTTGCATATTGTCTCCCTGATCCCTGGCTACCCTGTGCTGCTAAGAAAATGCCTTCAAATCCCCAGGAAGAAGCACATTAATACAGCTGCATCCCTCTTGATCAAACTTTCCAGACAGCTCAGCATTTTCTAAATAAAAACATATGTTTGGAAAGGTTTCATGCGAGTAACCAAAAAACGAGGGCACACTGTCCTCTTCTGGGTATTTCGAGAAGTAGCAAGAAGATAGAGAAGAGCCTGCACAGCTTTCTGTGCTTGGTCATACATAACTACCCAGGGGCAACAAAGTAACGGTCATATTTTCCTGTATTCAGAGCATAAAAATTAAGTCTTCTCATCCAGTTATTTTTATCTTGATAAGGATGTTCCCTTAACCACACACATTTACTGCCAAAATTTTTGGCAAGCTTCTTGCCACCTAACAAGTGTTAAGCTGCTATTCTTTCTGTCTCTATCCCTGCCAGTGTTTTTTGGAATCCAAGCATTTCTTTTAAAGTACATAGCAGTGGCTCACAAACATTACTAGTATGACCAGAAAAGCCATCACTTTTTTTTACCATCCCCAAGAAAAGGTCGACTTTCAAGCACACTATCATCTGGCTAGTGATTTGGTGAGGTTCAGAGTTCAGCAAAGGAGCAAAAAGAAGACTCAAAAATTCCTATCTATATTTTGCCTGTTTAAAACCTAAAAGTTTCCACCTCCTAGGTGCTCCTGTTTGCCCTTGTACTCACCAGCACTAGCTATACTTCCCTCAGCTAGAAGCCAACATTCTCCCATCCATGGCAATGGCACTGGTGGCCTATGTAGAGAGCAGACACACCGGGAAGCAATTGAGCCGACTGAGATCTGTAGGCTCAGGCATGTTTGATGGATTAATTCTGTGCACATCAACAGGATTGAGCACCAGGTCAAAAAGAGCCATCTTTCTCAAGGAGCATGACTTTGCACTAAGTTGATATATGCTGTTAAGAGAAATTTGCAGATTGGAGTCTCACTGAGAAGGGATTTATCAGCTGTCTTTCAAGCGTCAGGGTTCTGAGTGTCCCACGCAGTCTCACCCAGTCTTCCTCATCGACTGTGACCGCCAGTTAAGCGCATGCCCAGAAGACTTACTCATTTTTTAAGGCAACTGTACAGTGGTCCTGGCTGTGGTTCTCTCTTTTGCCTTTGCTGGCTGAGCTCTGGACTTGTGTTGTCCGTTCTTAGTGTTTCTAACTTGGTTTCTCGAGTGGGCTGTGGACTTGCTGCCTTGCTTTGTCTCCTGATCACTGGGTGGTTGAAGAAGCCAGTTATTTCCCCTGACTCTCCCTAGGCTTGATAGGACTGGGTCCTGTTTGTGTGTTTGTTGGCATTCTTTGCTCCTAACTTGTCTTCTCTTGTGCAGCAGCCCTGCTCTTCCTTCCTTTTAGCACTACATACGTTATGTTCACAGATTCATAGAATGGTTGGAGTTGGAAGGGACCTTAAAGCCCATCCCGACCCACCCCCTGCCCTGGACAGGGACACCTCCCACCAGACCAGGTTGCTCCAAGCCCCCTTCAGCCTGCCCTTGAACCCCTCCAGGGATGGGGCAGCCACAGCTTCTTGGGGCAACCTGGGCCAGGCTCTCACCACCCTCACAGCAAAGAAATTCTTCCCCACATCTCAGCTCCGTCTCCCCTCTTGCAGGGTCAAACCCTTCCCCTTCATCCTATCACTCCGTTCCCAGATCAAGAGTCCCTCCCCATGTTAAGATGCCTTACATGTTTTCCCTGGACAAGCACTGCCTCAGCCAGTGAGTTTCTATCATATTTCCACGAAGCCATGAACACGTGTGTGCCTTAGAAGCCCCCTGTAGCTGGGCAGTTGTAGCTCTGTTTTTCCATCCCCTAGAGCTGGGTTCCAGCCAAATTACAGAGGAGCGAAGTAAGATAAAACTATGTAGAGGCAGATATTAATTAAGAAGAAAAAAATGAAAGCTACTCATTTCCTCCTCAGAACTATATGTATGCTAATTGAAGTAAACATTCACTAAGCCCATTAAATGAAATTTAGGTTTGATAATACATTTAAGGCTGCTGGAAGCAACGGTGTAGCAGGTCATAGCCTGCAGCTTGTGGGAAGGAGGGTTCAGGTTGTACCACAAATAATAAACAGCTTCCACAGGGGTGTTAGGAGTTTCCCTGCCTGAATGTCTCTCCATGGAGCTGACAAATGCCCTAAGGCCTGGAGCTTTAATTATATCAATTAGTCTTGATAGTGGGGGGTTGTTTAAGACAGTTATTATATTTGTACAAGCTGTAATGTGGCTGCGGTTATAGTGGTCTACCCCGTCTCTTGCCCGTAATGCCAG